GGGGGGGGGGGGGTGAATGCAGCCTCCTCCCCAAAAATATTTACATATAATAACATAATAATAGCTGACAGAATGGCACAAACTGTGGACAAAATATCAGTAGGTCAGAGCATTGTATTGACAGCAGGGTTTATTTTAAGAAAAATTTAGAACTGCACATATAGGGATGTTACGAAGTAAATGAGAAGACTTTTAATTAAAGCTATTTTTGTTAGTTTGGTGACTGCACATTTGTGTTTTAAGAACTGCACAAATGGGTTTAGAACTGCATATTTTGTGTAGAACTACACGTTAATTAAAATAAACCCTGATTGACAGGTAAATGTTAAGTTATAAGCCAAATCCCAAATTTGGACGGCCTCATTCCAGATCATGGTGGTCAATATGAACTCACATCTCCTAGTAACAACCATGATGGTATTTTAGGTCTGTCTCTTTATTTCTAATGGCTTACAGGGTGTTAGCCAGAATTGATGAAATTGGGAGTTAGTAGCCCCGAGGTAGTATAAACTCCCAACAAAGGACCTTCGCTCGAAACATCAAAATTCTTCTTATATTTTTCTGGTAGTTGCATCCCTACCAAATGAAATCTTGTTATTATTGGCACTACCTACAGTACACCGGCACAGACAGTTCAAAATTCAGTTAGCCCATGGCATTTAGACCATGAGGTAAAAAATGTTTTAACTCTGGTCTGAATGTCGCATCTCTTATTAAAAGTGGTACTCTAGTGGCATAGTGCACCTGCCACCTGTGCTGATTGGCTGAGCTAATTTGAAACCTTTGAAGTGCAAGTCAACTGACATTATTTTGCATGCAAAAACAGGCCAATAAGGCAATATATTTTAGGCTAGATGTCATCCTCCCAACACTGATCTGGTTCCCAGTTCTTTGTTAGCAAAGTCATGTTTGGCAGGCCTAAATTGGGAAATTGCTAGCTAAAGGAATTTGGAAAACAGGCGTATAACGCCGAATTTTTTACTGCTGCTAACACTCGACTAAACAGAGAGTTGTAAAAGGGAGAGTTATGTCAGAGAGTTATGATTTGAGTTAAGTTCGAGCTACGCCCTCTTTTCCCTTGACCCTCCTGATGTTATCTTTCAACTTATGGGAGAGTTAAATTTGCGGGAACTCTCTTCCGTCAAAACGTAAAATTACGAGAGAGTTAACAGTTTCGTAACTCTCTGTTGTTATACGATTGGGAAGCGGGGAGACTGAGTTAAGTCGAACTATTATTTCAAAGTTAACGCCGATCATGTTTTGAAACGATTATTAAAGAGCTTTTTTAACTTCTGCTTTGGATTACTAGAGTAAAAATGGCTGTTTGAAACTAGTATGAATTATGAGTTTTGTATTTCTTAATTCCCATCTACACCAAGTATAAAAACAAGTAAAAGCATTAATATTTTGACTTTTTCCAATTAATAACTTCTTATTAACCGAATGCGAGGTCCATTACGCAAAAACAAACGCATGCATTTTGAAACAAAACAGCAAAACTAATTGAAAATTATAATTTAATTTCTTATTAATAGGATATCTAATAGCGAATGTTTTAGTGGAAAAGAAGGAATTACATTGGTATTTTTTGTTTTCTTCGACCAAATGTGGACCATGCTGCTAATATGCAATTCAAATCATGCATTTCTTGTTTGTTTGTTTCAAATATAAATGCCTATGAAGTACTGTTTAATAAACGAACAGGAGTATTTTATTAGGTTTATAGTCACGAACGCGCAGCGCGAGTGGCTTTAGACCTAATAAAACACGTCCTGCGAGTTTATTAAACGGCTTCAAACACGACTACAAATTCAATAGATATACTGCCTTATTAGTATTCTTTATATATAAAGAATACTAATGAGGACACGACTACAATAGATACTGCCTTATTAGTATTCTTTATATAAAGATTATGGTTGACATGATTTGCCAATAAGCTTATGAATTATTAATGAGTGTTTGAATTCCATATAATAAACTTTTTATTAACCTTGCTTGCTCGGTATGTACAGAGTCAACAGAGAAATATCGGACCTCGGTCTTTTTGTACAAACCTCACCCTACGGGCTCGGTCTCAGGCCTAACAGTGATTATTGTTTGTTCTAAGTCTAACCAATCTTGCATTGATGTTCTGAAAAATTGTAAGAAAGATGACCAGAATGATCTAGGATCATCCTTGCTTATCATACAGGTTATAGCAAATCAAGTTACTTTAGTAATATGCAGCTTACCTTTGGTACTGATATAGGTATACTTTACGTAAATGCTCACTTAGTCTATATATAATATTTTCAACTTTCATTCCTATAGATTGGGCACATTACTAAATTGTCATTGGAGAATGAACAAATTAGGGAAATGAAGACATTAAGCATAAAACCGACATTATTTGGTAAGTTTACTGTTAATTTGTGTCACATTTTAGAAATTTCAAAATTAATCTATATGCAGGGTTCGTAGCGGTCTTTGAAATCCTTGAAAGTCTTTAAATTGGAATGCAGGTCTTTGAGGTCTTTGAAAAGTCTTTAAAGCGAAGAAAGTTTAAATTCTTTAGTGAGGAATTGATTATACGATTTCCTAGCTAATGAAATAGATTGATTGAATCAAGATTTTCGCAAATATCGACGAAAATGCGCATTTTAGGATGTGACTAATTACTGGGTAAAAATGGTGCTTACACTCGCAATTTTTCGACAGCTGATTGCTCCCAAAGGTCTTTGAAAAGTCTTTGAAAATAGGCAGAAAAAATCTTTGAAAATCTTTGAATTTTTATGGTCTTGGAGACTACGAACCCTGACATAGAGGATATGATTGGCTAATGATGAGGGCATTTTTTAAATATAGATATAGACATTTTTAATTAGCAATACAAACAATGGCTTCTCTCTTTGTCGTTGCGGATAATGATGTTTTTGAAGAATTAAAAACTTCTAGTGAAAACTCGAACACTAGAAAAAGTACAAATTTATGGGTTGGAGTTATTAAGAAATGGGCAGCAGCATTAAGGAACATCGGCGAAGACATGAAGACATATGAGGTTTAAGAACTTGACAACTTCACAATTTACTTACAAATAAATTTTGCCCTCTATGATTAACAAGTAATCGCATAGTTCCTCGTGAAATTAAGGTTTAATTTCACTAGTTTTCAAAGTTTCACAAATTGCCCTTATGAAAGCACGCGTGAAATTAAACCTTAATTTCACTCGGCCCCATGCGGTTACATGTACTATAAATTATCTACACTGTAAATTTCACCAAAAACGGTGACAGAATAACACTTTTCGAGTTGATTCAACTCCTTGAAATCGTCAACTAGACCCAGTCCTCTGCTCGATTGGGAAATGGCTAATTAGCGAATGCCATGTTAAATAATAAGGCAAATATTCTTTCGAACTTTTCTGGCAAACATTTTATGAGACCAATTCACCAATTTGCATCACATTTTAGAAATTCCTAATTATCTAAGTTCTGAAGAGTGTGATGAGATTGTTAGACTCGCACAAGAGCAAGGTCTAGAAATATCTCAAACACTAGACGAGGACTTGTATGAAGATCCGGAGGGTTTTCAAGATGATCAAAGTGATGTTTTTGAATATTATGATTATAACAAAGATAATTTTTTGGACGTAGATGAGGTAAGTCCCATCATGGATAATAAAATAAATGGATATGAAACTAGCTGACGTGACCTAATGTTTTTACTGGGATTGATGGCGTGGCTGGGTGCCTCAACCTAGTTGAAAACCAAATTCTCAAAAACGGCATGTTTAGCAATAATACAGCTAAACATTTTAGTCAAAGAGCAAATAAATGTAACCACGCCATTCTACGATGAAAACTCTAAGTATTCCCAGTCAATTTTAGCAAATATTTCAAGCACTAAACAGTGAAAAATACATCGCAAATTTCGCAAAAATTTGTGACGCCAATTTCGTAGCTACAAATGTAAAAAATACAAAACAAAGACGAAAAACATTTACCTTGAATACTTTGTCGTGGCTTAGGCATGTTTTTAAAACAATTAGACCAGTTTACGCTTCAAGATCACCCTTTTAAAGTGGAAAATATAGCAAAACAACAAAAATGCTGAGAACTTTGGTAACATTCGCAATACGCGTGACGTCACGTTTTTCAACAAGGATGCAGTCAATGACGTCAGAAG